GGTATTCACTCGGGAACTCACCATCCCGGCACTGGTCACTGAGTTTTATGAGGGACGTCAGGATGATGACAACCGTACTAGCATCCGGTGGGCTAATCTACCACGTCGCCTTCTCTTCCTCGATGTGGTATTGAAAAAGAATGTTATTCCTCTTGGCCACAAGGAAGAACAAAGAGCGGCGAGGGGACTTCCTCCGTGTTCCTCCGTGCCTTACATCTTTTTGACTTCGAATTTTGGGTTGACATCCCTACTTTGATCTATAATCAGATGCACCGAGTCTTTAATGAAGTCAAAATACGCAATACCCAGGGCAGTGCTACATGGGCCCTCTTTTTTGCCAACCTCATTACAGTGCTCATAAAAGCCCAAGAGACATACCCACTTCAAGCCAATGAGGTTCATCTTCCGCCGCCCACATTTTATGGTAAAACCCACTGGCGTCAAACCACTGCTCACCTGCCGCCTCCACTAATTCTTCCCGAGGCCCCGGCCAATCCTAATGATGCCCCAGTCGAGCCCGCCGCCGCATCACCGCCATTCCGTATGACGAGGGCGCAATATTAGGCTCTTTTGGATAATCAAGCCGCCCTTCAGCAATCTATGGTTGATTTCTGGACCGACTACCAGGCTTACCGAGATTATTCACAGGCGACATTTGATGCAAACTAACTTCTTTGCATACCGGGATTCGAGTGGGCAGCGATTTGATCAGTTTAATCAGCAGTTCATTTAACATGGCACTAGGGTTCATGATGAGGCATTCGAGACTTGGACACTGATGCATGCCCTATTTGAGCAGCATTTCCCACCACCACCGCCAGATCCACATCAGTGATTTCTGTATATTTCCTTTATTTTCTTTCCTTATTCATTTTGTTTTGTTTTATTTTCTTTTCCTTTCTCTTTTATACTATATCGAAAAAAATAAATAAATAAATAAATAAATTTCCAAGAGTGTGTTTGGGTGTCCTTGCCTCGCTGGATGTGCATCCATGCTGTCTGGTAAGATCCTCTCTCTCATTTTACTATCTAATGTCTACTTGCTTACATTGAGGACAATGATATATTCCAGTTGGGGGGTGAGGGTATTTGTAATAACTATTCATGTTTGTACTTGCTGCACTTGATTGCACCACTTCACTTAATGTTTACTTTGTGGTATTTGTAATAACTATTCATGTTTGTACTTGCTGCACTTGATTGCACCATTTTACTTAATGTTTACTTTGTGCCAGTATGGTAATGATATGAGCATATGTTAATTGGGGAACATAGTGGGCTTGTATAAAAAAGGGTTTATTGGGTAAATACTCACATGTAATGTTTGCACTAGGATAGTTGTTTGTGTTTGTGGTATTAGTACACTTGTCATGAATATGCCTTAATTCACATGAACACACTATCATAGCAGTGACCTCTTTATTATAATCCCTGGTGTACATCATTGATAATGGTTGAGGTTGCAGAAAAGAATAAATGAGTAGCCAAGATTCTTGTTAAAAAAAAAAAAAAATGACTTGTTTGGGTCCGTAGCCTCTTTAACTCGAGTTACTAAGCCTGTAGGGGTGTCTCTACACCTAGTGCCCTAAAACTGTCTGGTTTGGAAGTCATTGGCCCAATACTTGCTACATGGGTTAATTAGAAAGCTTAAGGGATCTAGGCATTGCACAGTTAAGGAAAAATAAGAATGACTTGTTCGGATTCGTAGCCTTTTCAGCTCGAGTAATTAAGCCCGTAGGGGTGTCTCTACACCTAGTGCCCTAAAACCGTCTGGTTTGGGAGTCATTGGCCCAATGCTTGTTATAAGGGTTGACTAGAAAGCTTAATGGATCAGTACATTGCACAGCCTTTCAGTTAAGGAAAAAAAAAATTGAGAATCTTAGTTTCAACAGTTTAGTTTTTCTATATATGTTCAGTGTTATTATGAGTTATACTGGGCTATTATAGTGGACAGTTAACTAATATGGAGATTGCACTTTACACCGAGGGTACTAATGATGTGTCTACTAGCATTCACAAGTACATGGGACTTTACTTTTGTATAAACTGAAGTGTGGTTTTGGCTCAATAAATTCCTTCATACTTGTCCACTGTGTCTCTAATGACTCATCATGTCTTAATATCATACTGTAGTGGCACATAAGTTGATTGTTGTGTGAGGTAATGTGGTTAATTGTTGTTGAGCGGATATGAATATGTTGATGTTTGTGGGTATCACATCTGAAAGCCCTCACGAGACTATACTCGTCCACTTGGGATAACCTTGTGGTTTAAAGGCTTGTTGCATATGCTAAATGTAATCGTGATCCCTACGAAAGTGGCTGAGAGTATTTTACTTTTCTTATTTCTTTTGTTTTGCTTGAGGACTAGCAAAATGTAAGTTGGGGGTGTGATGTTGGCCGAAAGGTACTACATTGAGGCCACTTAAGTTACAGTTGTAGTCTTTCAATTTTTATTTTTTTTTTATGGAGATGATGTGTTTTGTGCACTTGTACAGATTTGGCAGGAAATATGAAACTTCAATAAAAAAAAAGGGCGCGAAAGCAGATTCTCCGTGTGAGAAGTGAAGAATCCGAGCCAGTTAGACTACCGCACGTGCGGCCAAGCTTCACCGCACGTGCGGCCCACCACCGCTCGAGTGGCCCACATGGGCGCACGAGCGGCCCACCTAGGGACGCATGCACGGAATTTTTGGTATGTTTTGCTGCGAATAAAAGAGAGAAAAATAGCCAAACCTAGGGTTCGAAAAATTAATTTAGAATAGAGGGAGGCTAGGGTTTCAAAGAGGTGATATTCTACCAAAGCTCCAAGGACACTTCCATGGGGGTTTCTTCCTCATCTTCTTCCTCTTTCCACTCCTCCATGAGTGGCTAGTCGTATTTTCTAGGGTTTTAATGAAACCCTAGCCATGTAATAGAATTTTTCATGAGCTTTAATTGTGAATTGATTTAAATGAATGTATGGATGGTTTAGAAGTTTTTAATAATTGTTTCGTTCATCTCCTCAGGCATTTTACTCTCTATGATTGTTTAATGATTTCCATACATTAGTATTCTTTGTGTTTGTATTCAAAGTACGGGACGAGTCATGCTTTGAGAGACGGGTCGTTTTGCTAACATAGTTTAGAGCAAACGACTCGTACCACTCGAGATGATTCGTGCTGGTACGTTGAATGCGACAACTCTCTTGATTAATATTTCAAACTTGTAGTTGTGAAATATTGGGTAGTTCAAACTGGATTGCGATTGATGGTTGATATTAAGTCTCATTCATGTGGTTAGTGGTGAATTCTCTACCCTAGGATTTTTCCTGAAAATTAATATCTCCAACCCTAATTTTAATTGTCAATTTAATTCTTCAATTTTATTTAATTGTTGTTTAGTTATAAAATTAATCTTATCTTTTTAATCAAAATTAATTTAAGAATTTTGCGATTGAATTAATTTAATTTCACATTTGTCCATGTGAATCGATACATTTGTAGAAAAATGATGTTATTTGCAGCATGAGTCTCTATTGTGATGATATGAAATTTTCATCTTCCAAGCCCTTAAATGTAGACCATTCATTTTTAATTGCATATACCATGTAATTATGATAAGCAGATCAATCTAATTTTTTATTTCTATAAATTATCTACACATCAATTGAATGGCTCAAATCATTAGAGTGAGACACATGGGGAGTCTCCCTGCTCACATACCACCCTCTACTCTTACCAATAAATAAATAAAATTAGAGTTTTAACTCTTGTAACAAAATAAATTTCTAGTTTTTAATTTTAGCAATTTAAATCCAAATCTTTTTTTTTTTTTTGAATCTAAACTAATGTAAAAATTTGCTCGCACCTTTGAATAATAATTTGTTATTTTATGATAAAAAAAATTTGCCACGTGATAGAAGGAGAAACCACCGAACACTTTGACACCAAGTCTAATGCTCACATATATAATAGTATAGATGATATTTCTTATTCAAAAAAAGTTTGTTGTTTTTGTTTCCTTAATTCCAAGCCTGAATAATAAGACTTATGTGTTATTAGCTTCCAACCCAAAAAATTTCATCCAATCCTTTATGAATATGAATATGTAAAAGCATGAGGTAGAGCATTCGCAGAGATCATTTGAAAATTAAATATTTTAATTAATTAGGGTATGGTATCGCACCGGCGCTGGGTAGGTATAGTGAAAGAGAGGCTAGTGCAATTTCTTGAACGACTAAAGAAAGAAGCTCAGGATTGTCGGTTTAGATTAATAACTTGAAATGTAGGAATATTAACAGATAAAACTATGAAGTTAGTGGGTAACTTATAATTGAAATAAATTATGACATGATTATAAGAAAACTGTAGGAGATGAGAAAACAAATGAAATGGAATAGGGTTTGAATTCTCTCAAGTTGATCTTTTCAATTTTATTGTGTTTAAGTAGTTAATCCATTTTGAGACTTAGTGATCCAAATTTTTCACTTTTTAATATAAAAAAATCCTATAAAAAAGCGGATTAATGTATAACAAAAAAAATTGAAGTCGTCATTGGCAATTTGGCATATTATCATGGACAAATCAATAGTACAAAAAACAAAAACAACAATATTTGTGAATTAAATAAGAGCTCGTGTTTACTTTTTGAGATTTTTTAAAAAGAAGTTAATTAATGCTTTTGAAAAGTTACTAAAAAATAACTTTTTATCGGTGAACAAATTAAATTGATGTTTAACTTTTCTTTCATATCCCCAAATCACTTGAGCTCGTATTTAATTGATTAAAACATCATTTAAGATCAACTTGTTACGTAAAAAATCAAATTCAAATATATTTCAAAACTAGTAAAGTTTTGAAGTCGACTTTGAACTACCTACTAATTCAGTTATATATACTATAAAAAATCTTGCCACACAAGTTTGGCTTAATTAAAATCTCCTTCAATTAGGGTATAAATAAATAAAAAAATTTAAAAAAAAAAAAACCAAACCTTAAACAAATTTTGAAATTCCTCAAGTTTGAACATCCTACTACTCAATCTTTCGCTTTATTTTTTTTTTCCTTCTTTTTCTCATTTTCCATATTAGCCGGGATCAAATTCATCTACCATAGCTGCTATTTTGCAGAGACAGAGAGAGAGAGATCAACAAATGAAACAAGTCTGAGAAGTTACCGCAACAAGCAACTAATAATTCACCTCCAAAATCAAAGTAATGAGATCACATGGGAACAGTACATAGATTGTAGCGTAGACACACAGGTTCAAAATAGACTAAAAGATGGCATGCAGAAGTAACTGAAAGGCGGCGAGACCGGCACTCAATACTCTCACTTAAGGAGTGTCTTGACAATGGACTTGACATTGAGCTTCTTGAGGTCGGTATACGACTGTCCACACCCAACAGACATGACAGGCGCTCCTGATATGTAAACCATCGACAGTGCCGCTCCAACCTCCATATTATATCATTATCAACCGATTCAAGTAATGCATTTAATTTCAGCCATAGTAAATCAAACAATTCAAACATCTTGCAGTAGATATATATAATTTTTACCTTATCATCAATGGTGTCGAACTTAGTGAGCAGTATTCCATCAATCAATCTGGGATTCAGAGAGGCTGAGAGGTCCGCTAATTTCTGCAACAAAAAAAAAAACAAAAAAACAAAACCCACAAAATGTTGCTCAATGAACTGCAAGAAATTATAATATGAAAAACGACTATGATTGTGACTCATTCTGAGTATTGTTGTGGTAGTTATAACGTCTAGTGACAGCTGGCATAAGTTAGTTGGCGATTGTTATGTTCTAGATTCAGCTCAACACATTTTGTATATGCATCCATGGACTTGTACTGATATGTGATATGAGACGAAGATGATGATCTTGAGTGACTTCTGTTTCGTGTTTCTCTCTGTGGTTCATAGTTTAGTTTATGCAATATCTCATTCTTTCATGGTATCAAAGCCTGAAAGAACTATTGCTCAAAATTGTGAAATTAAATAAATAGATTTATAAAGAAAACAAATTATATACCAAGAACATATGCTGATAATTACAACTAAATTTTAACAGAAATACACAAAAAACAATAAAGGGTAAAGAGACAAAACCGAAGCCTGCACGGAAGCAGTTTCCTTAAAACAGATTTCGCCGCCTCACGGGTCGAGTGCTTGAGGAAACCCAGCGTCTATCTCCCAAGATACGACGGTCAAAACCAGCTACGGCAGAAGCACTATCTGTCTAGCTTAGCGAACAAAACAATGGCAGCACTCTCTCACAATAGGAACTATCAAGCAAACTGACTTGTAAAATGGAAGCAAAAATTTCTATATTGAAACTTGACAGGAGGGTCTCAATTTATACATGTATAGGGGAGAGAGGAAAAGCCTCCAGCCTTTAAGGCTAGTCATTAAAACACCAAGCATCCATAGCCCCTTTCCACAAAATGAAAAGTATGGATGCCCAAAGGATTCACACCCTTTAGCCAAGAAAAAAGATTTAAATACCTTTTAAAATCCTATTCATGAATCTAACATCATGAAGCAATTTCTTGGCAATTTCTTATTCAAAACCCAATGGTTTTTGGCTCACTTGGACCCAACACAAAAAATGGTTAGGACCCACTTTAATATTTAATTAAAGTCACCACACTTTAATATTAAATTAAAGTCCCCAAAAATCATTTTTTCCAACAAGCCCCCACATGAATAAAAATTGACCGAATGACTCAACAAACGGACATCGTTCAACAATAAAGACTCTGAGAGAGAGTACAACGGACTAACCCCGACATCAGAGAAGGTAGCTTTTGGCTTTGAACCTCTCCCAGTGAAAACCTATCGAGTTTACTGGCAGATCAGTGAATAAGACATCTTGAACTGCTCTACCGTTTATGTAAACTAAGACAATAGATCTCACACGGGAATTACTCCTACCACCATTATGTTCTCACTAGTGTGCCCTGTGTGGCCTTGGACACTAGCCTGGTTCAGCAAGTGGTTTCAAAGAATCTTGAGGGGAATGAGACTTAAGCCTATTAAATAATCTATTGGAAATAAATACGAGAGTGATTCCTGGTTAACTATTTTAGTACCAATAATGAGATTCTCATTCCCCTCAAGATTTTGTTCACTTCTCTCTCCAAGATCCAAAGATCCAAACAAAACCTAAGTGTGTTTGTCATATCACCACTACCAATTTATCGTTATTAATTTGTACAAGTGCCAATCAAAATCATTGGTTTGCATTTGTTGTTTTCCTACATTTTCTTGAAAACTATATGAATATAGTTGAACTCTTTGGAGGAGAGGGCATTTTGAGATGTTGAGAATGGGCTTGAATGAGTTATGGCTGGTGATGTTGCAGTTTTACTTGTGAGCAGGCAGTTGATACCGCAGTTAGGGTTCTAAAGGAAGGGGGAATGGATGCGATCAAATTGGAAGGTGGGGCACCTTCAAGAATCAATGCAGCTAAAGCTATTGTGGAGGCTGGAATTGCAGTGATAGGACATGTGGGGCTTACTCCTCAAGCCATCAGTGTTCTCGGAGGTTTTAGGCCTCAAGGAAAGAAACAGTCAAGTGCTGTCAAGGTCAAAATCTATCTCTACTTACTATGCATACATGACATAAATACTTCATAATTTCTGTGGATCAAAAAAACATAAGTACTTCATAATTTCATATATAATCAAATATGTTCATACGCAAATCTGCATAATTTATTTTAGTGTCATTATGCTAAATTGGCCTGGTTTCTGCAGGTTGTCGAGACTGCCCTGGCTTTGCAGGAAGCCGGGTGCTTTTCTGTTGTTCTGGAATGTGTGCCTGCACCTGTTGCTGCTGCTGCAACATCTGCTCTTCGAATCCCTACCATTGGTATTGGGAAATTCATGTTATGAGGAATGGCTATGCTAGGTTGGCCCTCAGGAGTGGTGACAAGTTGCCTCGGCCGTTAGGAGTGGACATCGTGTTGTGTTAATTGGGTTCGTGTTATAATCACCTCAACATTAATTCAATCAATTTATTTTTCATGTTATCATGTTATGTCTTTTGCAATTTGTGTCATGTTAATGTGTCAAAACTCACTCTTATTTAAAAATACTTGTATGGCGAGATTAAATTTTTGGGTAAATTACACTGACACCCTACTATTCTTTTGAAATCATATTGACACGCCCTTTATTATTTGAAATCACACCGAGTTGACTATCAATTGATCAAATAGAAAATGATAAGATCCGCAAAAATAAAACTTAAAATGCCAAAATTACCGTCTAGTGTGTATATTAGTTGGAGTGTTCAAAAAAATTTATTTTTGCTTGCAAAAAATAAAATAAAATCATGTCAACATTTGTTGAGTTTCACCAACTTTCACTAGAATAAGGAATAGAGATGCCCAAAGGACCTTGATCTTCTATCATTTTCTCACATAAAAAGATATGATATCATAGCAGTTTACATTAACGTACCTAATCAATTATAAATTTCAATAGTGAAATAGATAAATCATATTCATAACAAAATTCATCGTGTATTTTCCCCAAACCAAATCCTGTGATCTGTAAACTCTACAAAGTTGAACAACAACGATATGCATAGAAAATATTTTATTAACCATGATAATCTTCATCTATTTCTGATGTAGAAGCAAAGAGACTACAACAAAGAAGTGAAAGTTAAGTTTATGATTTCTTTCATTGATCTTTTTGTTTTTGTAGAACTTGCTTACACAATGGTTCTGACTGAAAAGTGTGATGCTTATAGTTTTGGGGTGGTGGCACTCGAAACAATCATGGGAAGGCATCCTGGAGAACTACTCAAATCATTGGAATCATCGTCTGCTCGAAACATAATGCTAACTGATGTCTTAGACCCGCGCCTTCTGCCTCCAATTAATCCAATAGTTGTGGGGAACATTGTTCTAGTTGCTAGAATGGCAATTACATGCTAGCGCTCTGAGCCGAGATCTCGTCCAACAATGCTACTTGTATCTCAAGAGTTTCAGTCTTGCAGGAAGACTTTCGCTACACCTCTCTATGCAATTTCACTAGTACAAGCAAGGAATGTAGAAATAGATTTTCATCCAATAAATGAATAAAGTCAATGCTTGTGTTTGGTTGACCACAGAGGTCACAGCAGTAGGGGTTGGCAATCCAGTTGTCCCGGGGTTCAAATCCCCACTTACATTAGCAGTAGCAGCAGCATCAGTGATAGTTTCCATTTTTGAAAATTACACCAGAATATCACTTCTGTGTTTCCAGAAATTAAACTTAACCCTTAGAAAATCCTTTAGAAGAAAAATTAATTCAAAAATTAGTCTCACCACAAAACCTAGAATCGAACATGGTCAAGAAAGTTCCCAGGAAGACTGGAGGGGTCACATCGGTCCCACTTAAAACCCAGTTAACCTTTTGACAAAACTTTTAAGAGCATGTTGACTCCTAGTCCGTGATAAACAAATTAAGAATTAAATTTTCTTAGGAATGAACTAGGTTAAAGTAAACTAGGGTCCAAAATTTTTACAAGCAATGTAAAACCATTGCTACAACAATATAAGCAAATAAAACTTGCTACTATAAATTGGTAAACAAATCAATTACATCTCAAGCAAACATGCTTCAAACATTTTGATAAAATAGCCAATCCATAAGGATTCTATGTAGTTCAAAAGCTTTTCCACGCTTAGGTATTCCTATTCAACACAAACGTTAGTAGTCCAAACATTTTTGTTTTTACATCCCAAATTCTATTCATTTGGTTTTATATTTGTTTTTCGCATTGGTATCCCTACAAAGAAAGTTAGTAGCAAACCACAACAGAATACAAACAAATAATCTAAAAAATTTAATTATAATAAATAATTGAAACCATCTAGCCAACTATTAATTATATAAGTAACCAACTAATATAAGGTACCAAAACAAAATACAATTTGTAACTTCAAAATTAAATTACAACTTTAAAATAAAGTTCAATACTTATGAGTCATGAATGAAATTAATTCATAATAAACATTTAAACTAATATAAGTCAAATTCAAAGTTAATGCACCCAATTAAATAATTCAGATTAATGCGCCTAATTAAATAATTCAGATTAATGCACCTAATTAAATAATTCAGATTAATGCACCCAAATAAATAATTTAGATTAATGCACCTAATTAAATAACTCAGATTAATGCACCCAATTAGATAATTTAGATTAATGCACCCAATTAAATAATTCATATTAATGCACACAATTAGATAATTTAGATTAATCATGTACACAATTCATAAAACTCTATAACTCCAAATACATTAAATTATGTAATCTAGCCTAGAAAATAATAAGCATGTAACAAATTGAGACTAGAATAGAATTAGCATGTCAAAATTGCAACATCCATAAATTATATTTTATAACCTTAAAATTCATGCAAATCATGGTAGGGAAATGATGAACCATACGCATAAAACAAGATCATACTAATACAATTAAGTATGCAAATTATAATAGAGCATTCTAATTAAACTAAGCAATTAGAGAGTACCATTGCATAATTTACAATTATTGAAATAGTGAGCAATTCCGCAACAATTCCTAGTAACATTATACAAAGCTAACCTAATAGTCTATATAAATCTATTCGATCAATTTCATAGAAAAGATATATAAAATCTGTTT